GATAAGACTGTGTGTGAGAGAGAGAGAAGACTGTGTGAGAGAGAGAGAAGACTGTGTGAGAGAGAGAGAGAGAAGACTGTGAGAGAGGGAKAAGACTGTGAGAGAGAGAGAGAAAAGACTGTGTGAGAGAGAGAGAGAGAAGACTGTGTGGGAGAGAGAGAGAGAGAGTTGGCACAAAGATTGATGGTTGAGTGACTTGGATGATCTCAAAAATTTATACGGTAATCCTGGAGCATTCCTTCATGGTTTCCGCAAAATTTATAGTCTGACGCTGTGATGGTTGCAACAACATTTATTTGAAAGATGGGGATCTGGAATTCCTGTCGAAATATTTTTGGTGGTTCTGGTGCCCGGTATTTGCAATCAATTTGCGATGGATGCAATTACGAATAATATACAATGCTCTCAATTACGAATGATATACAATGTTCAAGACCAACAGGGCACATAAGGCAATTCAATTTGTCACTGCCTGTGGGGCATATTGGCAATTGTGACCTCCAGTGGGACGCAGACTGTGATAATAGTTTTGACTGTGGAGTACTCATCCGATGGTGTGAAGTCATGCTACCTTCATACCAATACAACGAACGGTCATTATGGCTGTATTTGGGGTCTCTTTACAGCAATAATGACCGTACGTTCGATTCGGGTGAAGAAGGTACGCGTTACTCTCACAGTGAATGCAACAATGCACACTTCCAAAATTGTGACTGCATTAGATTGTGGTCCCGGGCTCCGTCACAAGTGATAGGACTGAGATTGACAGTGCTGAGAGCCGAAGTGTCAAAGCTGAGAGGAGCTTCCAAGTACGATGACACGCGCAGACATGTAYGATGATCCGCTATATATAGCTTCAGCGCGTGATTGATGGTGGTAATCTCGATGATGATCGTTTACGGTAAGTATGCCGACTCATATGCTGATGTGCCGATGGTAGTATCGATGATAGCTGCTGTACTGGCAGGGGCGACAACAAATCCTGACTTGTCAATGGTGGTGTCTGTGATGTAGCCGCACCTATGTGGCGATTGACATGCCTTGAAATTCTTCATAGCTAGCACGGGATCCAGCAAAACACGGCGACARGTGTCCCCTCCGTGTCAGCGGCGGTGCCAATGASGGCTGKAACCGCAAGAGTGTAAACACATATGTAATCGGCTTGTGACAAGACATCCTGACTTGTCTGTGATGTAGCCGCCGCACCTATGTGGCGATTGACATGCCTTGAAATTCTTCATAGCTAGCACGGGATCCAACAAAACACGGCCACAGTGCC